TTTTTTTTTTTTTTTTTTTTTTTTTTTTTTTTATCTGCCCTCTTAAAACAACAGGAATGCTGCACTGGCCCTCAGCCAGCCAAGGCTCAGCGAGCAGGGTAAAATTTCAGTTCAGATTTACGGGAAGGTGTCGGGAGTAAAAATCTGGTTTGGTGAGTTTAAGGCAGGGGAGTAGTCAAGAGACAACCTTGCTACTGTGAGCGCGGAGAGAAAGGGAGGAGGAAGGGGAGGGGGAATAAAAAAAAAACCAACCCAAAACACCCCGGCTGGGGATGAGAGACCAATTTTTCCCCTGTCCGAGTTGCAGTGTGTGTTCCTGAGCTCCTGCAGCCTTATCGAGTTGGTAGGCAGAACGTCGGGTCTGGGAGTGGAAGAGCCGCGCGGTGCTGGCCAGGAGCTCAGCGTCCCGCTCAGCGCCCTGGAATGTGCAGCTTAGGGCAGGGGCGAGCAGGGGCTTTAGCTTAGCTGGTACTAATTGCGAGTTTTTAGTGCTCAAAAACTCTGTTTAAAAAAAGGAGACCAAAAAAAAAAAAAAAAAAAAAAAAAAAAAGCCTTACTTTGAAAAGCATCACATGCAAAAGAAACATCTAAACTTTGTTGTGTTAATTGTTCTGGCACTCAAAGTTACGGCAAAATGTCTTAGAAATATTGTTGGCTCTGGGCCCGCGATGCGTCAGACAGACAAAAAAATGCTCAAGCAGAAAAACCTGAGGAAAAGAAAACCAACAACAGGAGGTTTCAACAGGAAGGAACGGCGGCATGACTTGGTCATGGCCTTGGTCAGGGAGATGACAGCCAGCAGGCAGCTGATAGGAAAACCCCAGAGCACCTGGGGCATCCACCTGCTTTTCCTTGGGATTCTGCATGCCCTGGGCATGGTTAGGAGCCGGTCACTAACGAGTGCAGGCTGTGGCCCTACCACCATCTTTTTCCACCCATATGAGACTGGTTTTTGCAAGCAGAGGTGCCAGTTGCACCGGGTGCTCTTTGCAGCCACTTTCTCAACAGCTCTGTGTGAGTGGCATTTGCTGTGGGCTCTCCCTGGGGGTCACAGGCACCCACCACCCCCCCGAGAAGGCACATCTCCCTCCCCACACCCCATCCCCCCCTCTCTCCCAGAGCCTGCTTTGCTTTGAGCCCCAAATATGGGCTCGGTGCATCCGGGCTCCCCGGCACAAGCCCGGGCAGGAGCGCGGCGCCGTGGGGTGACTCAGGGCCCCGGCAGCTCCCCGGGGCCAGGGGAGCGCCCACAGCTCCCCTCTGCCCAGAAACCCAGCCCAGCCTGGGCAGGACCCGCTGGGAGTGCCCTCACTTCCCCTCCTCAGCCCCAAAACACACTTTTCTCTCCCTTTTCTGGGCATTCGGGCACCGGGGTTGCTCGTGGATGTTGCACGGGGACGTGGCTCCCGCAGCACCCCACAGAGAGTGGGGGTTGTAGGTCTGGGCTGGTGCACGGGGCAGCACGATGGGGTGCAGGTGACCCACCAAGCCACAGCCGTGCCATCCACTGCAGCCCAGCGCCTGAAGAACCCCTGGAAATGCCCAATTTTCATGCCTGGAGAACCCCCCCAACATCCACAGCACCAGTCTCTGGGGTGCAGCCCATGGGGATGCACCAGTTGCCCCCAGTAAAAAAAACCAACACCCTGAGGACCAGCAGAAGGGGGTCCCCCAACAGCCACGATTCTTGCTTGACAACCCCTTGGGGTGGTGACAAGGAGAGCTTGGAGTGGTTGGCACAAATCCACAGGGCACCACGCTGTGCTCCAGCCCTCCAGCGTTACCACATCAGCCGGGACAATTTATTTTTGGGTGTTTCTCCCCATTTCCCTCTCCCCCTGAGCCAGCCTGGCAGGAGCACAGCTCCTCTCCCACACGCCGAGGCAGCACTGCCTTGCGCTGGCAGCAAACGTGGCAGGTCAGCTGAAGTCACCCCCCCCCAAAAATGGCATTTTCTCAGTAAAATGCCACTGAGGTCATTTTCACCCGCCTCAAACACCCACGGCGGGGACGGGGGCTGCGCTGAGCGGCTCCCAGGAGCTTGGGAGGCAGGAGGGAAGCAGAGGGTTTGTGAATCCTGGGGATGAAAGGGCTGAATAAAAAGGAGCCGTTAATAATAGTCGTGGCCTGAAAGGGGGGGGGCTCAGCCCCCGGCTGTGGGGGGGCAGCCACCGTGAGGGGGGCAGAGGCAGCGGAAATCAGGGCTGGGATGAAAGGAGCGTTTCCAAGGGCTGGCAGAGGAATGCCGGGAGCATGGGCACGGTGTGGGGAGGGGGGGGCACCAGCAGGGATGGGGAACAGTCGCTGCAGCCCCCTCCCACTGCCCCCGAGGTGCCTTGGGGCTGAGATCACCTCCTTCACCTGCCCTCAGAGTCTCTGATGACATTTCATAGCATCACAGAATGGTTCAGGTTGGAAGGGACCTTAAAGCCCCCCCAGTGCCACCCCCTGCCCTGGGCGGGGACACCTCCCACCAGCCCAGGTTGCTCCAAGCCCCCTCCAACCTGCCCTTGAACCCCTCCAGGGATGGGGCAGCCACAGCTTCTCTGGGCAACCTGGGCCAGGCTCTCACCAGCCTTGCACATGGCTGTGGGGCAAACAGGGGCACCACAGCCCCCGGGGGGGCTACCACAGGCCAGGGGTGGGCTGAGCTGACTGAAACACGGCTCCTAAACCCGTGCAAAGAGCAGCTGCCACTGGGCAGGACGGGGTGGTCAGTACCTGCCTCCCACCCATGTGGTCACCCCCCCCCAGAACCCCCCCAGCTCAGCCCGGCTCTGAAGTCCAGCACACGAGGCTGTTTTCTTGCAAATCATTAATGAAATAGCACCTCAGGGTGTTCCACAAAAACTCACAGACACTCCAAAAAGAAGCCTCTGTCCTTCAGTGGCTGTTAAAGACTCAGCCCCACCTGCCCCCCCGCCTTGGGATGCTCCGTGCCCAGTACCCAGGGGTGCTGCACCCCCCGGCTCACCCCATCCCACCTGGGCAGCCCACGGGGCAGTGGGACTTTGCCCGGGCTGAGCTGGGTGCCCTGGGAGCAGCTTTGAGAGCTCCAGCATTTCTTAATGGCACAGAAAGCACGCGGGGAATGCGCGGCGGGGGGCACAGACTGCGTGGCCCCCCAGGGTTTGCAGGACGAGGGGCAGCATTCCTGGCATCCCTGCCCCTGCCACCCTGCCCCTCTGCCGTGGGGGCCGAGGGGACCTGAACTGTTTCCTATAAACCCAACTGAAAATGGGAAATCGTTACAGGGCTTTATAGAGCAATAAAAGGGGTTTCAATGCCACAGCAGGAGGAGGGGATGAAGGAAGGCGGGAGGGAAAAAGGGCCGGAGAAGTGACAGCCCCGTGGAACATGTCACAACTGAGCTCTGGCTGCCAGGGCTCAGCCTTTTCTCCATCAGAGGCACCTGCAGGCACCGCAAGGGGAGATGGCAGCCGCCCAGGAGGCTGCTCCTTGCCACCAAGCCCTGCAGATATTTCACAATCCCAAAACCAAGTGCCACCAGTGCCGTGGAAGGGGTTTGGAAGAGGAGCTGGGACAAGGCTGCCTGCAGCAGGGATGGGTCCATCATCCTCAGCAGCCAGCCAGCTCCACCACAGCTTTCCCCTACACTTTGGGGGCTGGTGGTTCTCTACCCTCTGGCCCAGGGACACAGCACTGGCAGCATCCCCACAGCATGGTCACCCCCACAGCTGGTCCTGCCTCCAGCCCTCACAGCCTTAAAATCTACAGCCAGTCACCCTCCCCACGGTTGCTGAGCCCCCATGTAAGGGATATACCAGTTTAAGCCCACCAGCAGCCCCAGTGCTGGAGAAGAGGCTTGTGCTGGAGCCCGGGGGGGGTCAAGCACACGCTGCAGGGAGGTTTTAGACCCCACAGGACGTATGTCCAGAGCCATCTCCTGCTCACCTGTACTGGAGCAGGACCCAGCACCGTGCACAGCCCCATCCCACTGGGAGCAGCACAGGAATCACCAGCCCCCCCCATCACACCTCCCTGCCCCCCCACAAGCTGCAAAGGCACCGCAATCAAGGTAACGACTCAGATCTAACATTTGCTTTTAATTTAATGGTTTTCTCAAGACCACTTTGTAAGAAGGAGGGGGAAACACGGGCACCCTGGAGAAGGGAAAGGGCCAGCGAACACGTGGCAATAGTGCAACGGAGCTTCAACGTGTGGCACAGGAGACAAGGGCACAGACCCCCCCCCCCCCCCCCCCCGCCGTGAAAAACATCTGGGAGGCTGTTACAGACCCAGACACATCCCATGCTGCTGAAGTTTTACATCACATCGGACAAAGGCAATAAATAAAGACGTGGTGCCTCACCAAAGGCACTTCTTTTTCCTCCTTTCAACATTAAAGAAAAAAAAAATAAAGTTGGCATCAGAGCATCTTCTCAGACTGGGGCTTTGGCCAGATCCAGTTGGGTTTCTCAGTGCAGGAGAGGGAAGAGCTGGGACCTGGGGGGTTTGGACCCCGTTGCCAGCACGTCCTGAAGCCCAGCCCGCAGGCAGCAGCCAGGGCAGCACCTCTGGCCAGCACCCTGCTACATCTCCAGCTTGTTTGAGGTATATCCTGCCCCATCCGTTACCGTGTGCAGCCAAAAAAAAAATAATAAAAAAATACCAGTGCAAAGAAAAAAAAAATTAATAATACCCCCAACCCCTTGGTTCCCCCCCTGCAATGAGATGAGCCTGTTTGAGAGGGGAGGATGGCAGCAAGAAGCATCCAGGACCCCCAACTCCCTCCATGGGGGTGGTGGGGGGGATCACTGGGGGCTTTGGTCCATGCAATGTCCTGGCACTGGGGTGTCCCCCCCCAGGCCAATACCCCACAGCCTCCACAGCTCCCTCCCCACCTGCACCCACTCTCCTCCCCGAGGGGCACGAGGCTGCAAAATAAATAGGTGGGACGTGGCTCAGCAGTACCGACAGCCCCCGGGGGGGTGCTTGGTCCCCTCCCCAGCACACAGCACCCGGGGAGCCCTGCCAGGGAGGTGTCCTCAGCTCAGCTTCATGCTGATGGCCACGGCACGCCGGTAGACCTCGGTGGCATTGTCACAGCCCACCAGGGACAAGCTGCTCTCTGCCAGGGGGTTCCGGCAATGGGTCACAGTCCAGCGGCGCAGCCGGCGCCCTTTCTCCAGCTCCTCCTCCTCCTCTTCCAGCCGGAGGAGGCTGTCGGCGGAGACGCAGCCCCTCATGCCCCCGCCACCGTGGGGGACACGGGTGGGCAGGTCGAGTTGGTCGAAGGACTCGGTGGAGAGGATGCTGTCCTCACTCACAGCGCTGGACGGGCGGGCACGGGGCGCCTGGGGCAGGGGCACCTCACCAAAGCCCCCAAAGCCCTGCCCGGGGGGGCTCTCTGGCTCCGTGCTGCTGGAGGAGTACTTGCTGTTGTGCTTGAGGATGCCTTTCCGACGGGCAGGGAGACCCTGGGGACCCTTGTCCGGGGAGGGGTTGTCAGCAAACACGCTCCCATCAAGGTCCAAGCTCCCTGCGTCCAGGACATCCCCGGATTCAGAGCACTCCAGGGATGAATAATACCCCGACTCCCTCGTTGGGGGCTTTTTGAGTATTCCCTTCTTGGGCACGGCCGCGGGCACCGCTCCAACGCCCGTGCTGCCTGGCAGCATCCCGGAGGACAGGATCCGGGTGAGACCTGCAGTGGCCACCTCACCATCCTCACCCCTCACCTCTCCCGTGGGTGCTGCTGGTGGGGGACCGGGGCCGGGCACCTTCTGCTCACAGGAGTTTCTCTTCTTCAGGATGCCCTTAGGCCGCTTGAGGATGGATTTGGAGGGGTTCTCCGGAGGCAGGGCCACCTCCTGCAGCGCGTGGGAGACATCGTTCTCCTTCTTGGACTTCTTGAGGGAGCGCTGCCGCTCCAGGGCCACACCAGGGATGTGCTGCTTCAAGAAGCATCTCACTTTGGAGCCGTTCTCCAGGAGGGGCCGGGAGGAACGGCGAAGCCACTCTGCCACCGTGGCCAGGGGGGACTCGCTCTCCCGCAGCAGCTCTTGCTCCCCGATGGGCATTTTGTAGCCCCAGTTCACCCACCAATGGGTGGCAATGTCCTCAATGGTGGCACGGCGCTCTGGGTTCACCATCAGCATCCACCGGATCAACCCGCAGGCATCTGGGGAAGAGACAGGTCAGTCACCGAAGGGAGCACAGGGTGGGGAAGAGGGGAGGGGGATGCACAGGGTGGTGGGGGTCTGCCTACCTGACAGTTTTGTGGGCTCCCGGTAGTCCCCACTCGTGATCTGCTTGACCAGAGTCTTGTAGTCATGGCCATCGAAGGGCATCGTGCCATGGACCAGGATGTAGAGGAGAACGCCCAGGGACCAGCTGTCCACCTGCCAGAGGGAGAGATGAGCCTGGAGGGGGGCAGCAGGACCAGGCTGCCCTGGCCCCCACCCTGGATGGACAGGACCCCCCAGCAGAGCCTTTAGCAGCAGCTCCCAGGGTGGCAGCAGCCACAGAGGAGGACAGAGCGTGGGGTAGCTCCAGCCACCTGCATCCCACCACATCCCACCCCACCGCTGCTGCCACACACTGACCACGTGGCACTGGGTGTTAGGGGTCTGGTACCCAAAACTACAGAGGCAGGGGGGGCTCTGATCATGATGCTTTGCTGGGAAAACACCCAGCACTTTCCCAAGTCCCAGTGAAGAGGCAGCAAAACACCCTAACACACAGGGGGTGAGGCACAACCCACCTCCGGGCCCTTGTATGGCCTCCCGTTGATGATTTCGGGGGATGCGTAGAGAGGGCTGCCACAGTAAGTCTGCAGAAGTTTGTCCTGCTGGTAAACGTTGGACAGGCCAAAATCTGCAATCTAGAGAGACATTGATAGCTGTCAGAAAAGCAGAGTTCCCCTTTGCAGGTGAAGCAGCTTTGCCACCCGAAGCTCTACAAGCTCCAGGCTTGGCTGAAACCATGGCTGCCCTTGGCATCCTGGTCCTGGGTGTCCTCAATCTCCTCAGGGAGCAACAGCATCCTGGTTTTCCACCCCCAAGAGTGTCCTGAACCGTCTTCCCCTCCTAGAAAACTCATCCCAGCCATGGCAGCAGCTTCCCTGAGGCTCTGCCCTCCCAGCCCCATCACCAGTGTGCTGGGAGGAGCAGAGGTGGCTGCAAAGCTGTGGTTAGAGGGAGAGCTGCTGGGCTCTCCTCCAGCTCAGTCACAGCCACAGGAGGCTGCCTCAGCCCCTATCTGCTCCACCTGGCACGCAGGCATTCATTATCCTCATTATGCCCGTCACCTCTCAGCGAGCAGAAGGTACAGTCCCTGCTTGTGAGCTCCCAATTGCAAAATTACCCCTTGGAGAGATAAAACCCTGCAGTCTGTTTATCCCAGACCGCACCGATTCCCGGCCAAGGCAAAAAGCATCGCTCGGGGCCAACAGAGCCAGGAGCTGCCCCACACCTCCCTCTGCCAGCCTGCCTGGCACGTAGGGAACCAGGACTTCCAGTAGGAGAGCCCTTTCTTATCCAGCCCGTCGTGCGTTGACCTCACCGTTCAGACTTTGCCCTCTTATCAGCAGTGAGATATACATTTATGGCTTTAACAGGTGGTTTGAAGGCTCTCCTCTCCTGCTCAGCTACCAGGCACGGAGAGCAGCGGGCACATATGGGCACCCTCCTGGCTCCCCATCTCCTGGGCAAGCACCATGAAGGCGATGCCAGTGGTCCCAGAGCTGAGAGATGCTTCCCAAAGCTGTGGAGAACCATGTGAGGAGAGGCTGAGGGAACTGGGCATGTTCAGTTTGGAGAAGAGGAGGCTGAGGGGAGACCTCATTGCCCTCTACAGCTCCCTGAGAGGAGGGTGTAGAGAGGTGGGGGTTGGCCTCTTCTCCCAAGGGAATAATGACAGGAGCAGAGGAAATGGTCTGAAGTTGGGGCAGGGGAGGTTTAGATTAGATATTGGGAAGAATTACTTTTTACTGAGAGGATGGTCAGGCAGTGGAACAGCCTGCCCAGGGAGGTGGTGGAGTCTCCATCCCTGGAGGTATTTAAGAAACGTGTAGATGTGACACTTCTAGTGCCCAAGATTGTTGGTTTGTGTCTGTTCATGGGTTTGGTTTTTTTGTTGTTTAGTCCCTGGAGGGATTTAAGAAACGTGTAGATGTGACACTTCTAGTGCCCAAGATTGTTGGTTTGTGTCTGTTCACAGGTTTGTTTTTTTGTGGTTGGTTGGTTGTTTTTTTGTGGTTGGACTCTATGATCTCAAAGGTCCCTTCCAACCATGAAGATCCTGTGATTCTATTTGCCCCAGGGGGACCAGGGTGTTGTGGCCACCCCCAGTCCATCCCCACTGGGCAGCACCCCTTGGACCTCTTTGCTGAGTGACACCCAAAGCCCGGCCAGGCTCTGCCCACCTCTCACCTTGATGTTCCCGTTTGCATCGAGGAGGATGTTCTCCAGCTTCAGGTCCCTGTGCACGATCCCGTTCTGCGGGAGGGAAAGGTTTGGTTTGTTTGAGGAGGGGAAAGTCAGGCAGCAGGAGGAAGGTCACTGCCGTTCACAGGCACCCTGGCACGCAAACAGGACACGCTGACGGCAGAGGAGGAGCAGTAAATAACTGGGTGCATGGATGAGCCAGCACCCTGGCACGCAAACAGGACACGCTGACAGCAGAGGAGGAGCAGTAAATAACTGGGTGCATGGATGAGGACAGGCCGGGAGCCTTTAGCAGCAGCTCCCAGGGTGGCAGCAGCCACAGAGGAGGACAGAGCGTGGGGTAGCTCCAGCCACCTGCATCCCACCACATCCCACCCCACCGCTGCTGCCACACACTGACCACGTGGCACTGGGTGTTAGGGGTCTGGTACCCAAAACTACAGAGGCAGGGGGGGCTCTGATCATGATGCTTTGCTGGGAAAACACCCAGCACTTTCCCAAGTCCCAGTGAAGAGGCAGCAAAACACCCTAACACACAGGGGGTGAGGCACAACCCACCTCCGGGCCCTTGTATGGCCTCCCGTTGATGATTTCGGGGGATGCGTAGAGAGGGCTGCCACAGTAAGTCTGCAGAAGTTTGTCCTGCTGGTAAACGTTGGACAGGCCAAAATCTGCAATCTAGAGAGACATTGATAGCTGTTAGAGCAGCAGAGTTCCCCTTTGCAGGTGAAGCAGCATTGCCACCCGAAGCTCTACAAGCTCCAGGCTTGGCTGAAACCATGGCTGCCCTTGGCATCCTGGTCCTGGGTGTCCTCAATCTCCTCAGGGAGCAACAGCATCCTGGTTTTCCACCCCCAAGAGTGTCCTGAACCGTCTTCCCCTCCTAGAAAACTCATCCCAGCCATGGCAGCAGCTTCCCTGAGGCTCTGCCCTCCCAGCCCCATCACCAGTGTGCTGGGAGGAGCAGAGGTGGCTGCAAAGCTGTGGTTAGAGGGAGAGCTGCTGGGCTCTCCTCCAGCTCAGTCACAGCCACAGGAGGCTGCCTCAGCCCCTATCTGCTCCACCTGGCACGCAGGCATTCATTATCCTCATTATGCCCGTCACCTCTCAGCGAGCAGAAGGTACAGTCCCTGCTTGTGAGCTCCCAATTGCAAAATTACCCCTTGGAGAGATAAAACCCTGCAGTCTGTTTATCCCAGACCGCACCGATTCCCGGCCAAGGCAAAAAGCATCGCTCGGGGCCAACAGAGCCAGGAGCTGCCCCACACCTCCCTCTGCCAGCCTGCCTGGCACGTAGGGAACCAGGACTTCCAGTAGGAGAGCCCTTTCTTATCCAGCCCGTCGTGCGTTGACCTCACCGTTCAGACTTTGCCCTCTTATCAGCAGTGAGATATACATTTATGGCTTTAACAGGTGGTTTGAAGGCTCTCCTCTCCTGCTCAGCTACCAGGCACGGAGAGCAGCGGGCACATATGGGCACCCTCCTGGCTCCCCATCTCCTGGGCAAGCACCATGAAGGCGATGCCAGTGGTCCCAGAGCTGAGAGATGCTTCCCAAAGCTGTGGAGAACCATGTGAGGAGAGGCTGAGGGAACTGGGCATGTTCAGTTTGGAGAAGAGGAGGCTGAGGGGAGACCTCATTGCCCTCTACAGCTCCCTGAAAGGAGGGTGTAGAGAGGTGGGGGATGGCCTCTTCTCCCAAGGGAATAATGACAGGAGCAGAGGAAATGGTCTGAAGTTGGGGCAGGGGAGGTTTAGATTAGATATTGGGAAGAATTACTTTTTACTGAGAGGATGGTCAGGCAGTGGAACAGCCTGCCCAGGGAGGTGGTGGAGTCTCCATCCCTGGAGGTATTTAAGAAACGTGTAGATGTGACACTTCAGGGCATGGTCTAGAGCCTGAGATTGTTGGTTTGTGTCTGTTCATGGGTTTGGTTTTTTTGTTGTTTAGTTGGTTGTTTTTTTGTGGTTGGACTCTATGATCTCAAAGGTCCCTTCCAACCATGAAGATCCTGTGATTCTATTTGCCCCAGGGGGACCAGGGTGTTGTGACCACCCCCAGTCCATCCCCACTGGGCAGCACCCCTTGGACCTCTTTGCTGAGTGACACCCAAAGCCCGGCCAGGCTCTGCCCACCTCTCACCTTGATGTTCCCGTTTGCATCGAGGAGGATGTTCTCCAGCTTCAGGTCCCTGTGCACGATCCCGTTCTGCGGGAGGGAAAGGTTTGGTTTGTTTGAGGAGGGGAAAGTCAGGCAGCAGGAGGAAGGTCACTGCCGTTCACAGGCACCCTGGCACGCAAACAGGACACGCTGACAGCAGAGGAGGCCCAGTAAATAACTGGGTGCATGGATGAGGACAGGCCGTAAGCCACGTCCTGACATGGGTGCTACCAGCTTGCTGTGCTGTCTAGGAGCACAAACAGGGCGGCAACCACAGCAGCACCCCGCACCCAGCGCCATGCTGGGCTCCAGCACCCTCCCCAGCCATCACCCCGGAGAGCAGGGGGGTGCCAGGGGGTCCATGCTTTGCCAGGACCTGCTGCTGCCCATATAGGCTAGACCCCGATTTGCTTTGGATTCAGGAGGTGCCCTGCAACTCCCCCTCCCTGCCAAGGACACATTGGACCAAGACATGACCAGGAATGGCCTTAGAGCATCCTCCAGGGTGCTCCAGGTAAAGCCTGGGGGTCTCCCTCAGGTTTGAGGGACACCTGGGGGGTCTCCCCCCAGGCTTGAGGGGCCCCTGGGGGTTTCCTCCCAGTCTTGAGGGGCCCTCCAGGGTAGACACAGCTCATCCCACAGCCCCGGACAGGGTCCTATAGCCTTACATCCCTTTCAAGGAACAAGATGGGTGACCAAGAGCTTGGCTTTCAGCCCCGGCAGCCACCCCTGGGTGTCTCCCTCCAGGAGGGTGGGACGGGCGTCAATAACTGCCCGTTGGGGTTACTCAGCCCCACACAGCAGCAGCGGGAAACCAAGGCAAGTATTTTCCAAAAGCTACTCGAGCTCTGCCTCTGCACAAGCCCAAGTGCTGCCGCACCCTTCAGATAAGGGGCAGGATTAACCCCTTTCCTGGGAAAGGCCACCAGCCACGAGCTCCCATCACCTCCCAGCCCAGGCTGGACTTCCCCATCGGCCACTGGAACCTTTCCCAGCCCCGGCTGCTCCACACAGGAGCTGATCCCCCCCAGTTTTCCCCCCGGGAAGAGCGATGTTGACCCACCTTGTGGCAGTAGTAGACGGCCGAGACGACCTGGCGGAAGAAGTGACGTGCCTCCTGCTCCGTCAGCCGCTGCCGCTCGCTGATGTAGTCGTAGAGGTCCCCCTTGCTGGCGTACTCCATCACGATGACAATCTTGCTGCTGTTCTCAAACACTACACAGAGACAGGAAGCCACAGGATGTTAACAAGGGATGCTCAGAGCTAGGGGACTTATTAACACATGCCTTTTAGTGAGCATGAGCAGCCCTAACACACTGCCCACCCCACTGCCTGTGCCCTCCTCATGTTTTGCATAACAGGAGGGGTCAGGGTTTCTGCAGGTACGTGGTCAGGTAGGGGACAGGCAGAGCTGGCACCCGTGTCCCACGGTGCCACCAGGGCTGCTGGCCAAGCAGCCTCTGCAGCCACAGAGCACAAGGAGAAAGGGCTCTGCTGTGCCAGGAGGTGACTAAGGCGCGTGGTTCTTGGCTGGATAGAGCCCTGCCAAGGGGGAGGGTGATGGAGCTACGGGCTGGCACGGCCCCGTGGCCGTTCTGTGTGTTCCCATCGCTCCCAACACCCCTCCAGCTCCAGCCCAGAGACGGAGCGTTTTCTTCCTGTTTGCAGAAAACTACCTCGGTGTTTTTGAATTCCAGCAGCCAGCGTGACTCAGTCCTTGCAAACACCGGGCGCGTAGGAACTGCTTTTTGTTTAGAGGACAAAAGGACTCTGGATACCTCACGTAAGCCAGCACGGTGGCAATAACCCAGGCAGCGGCCACACGCCGGCACAGCGCGGTGAGCCCCGGCAGAGCCAGCCCCGAGGAACAGCGTGGGGAACACCAGGTCCACAGCCAAAGGACTCGGTGTTTAAGCAAAGACTGAGCCAGCTGGAGAGCTGCTCTACGTCTGGTCAGAGCTAGAACTCCAGAAACCTCCCTTGGGCTGGGGTTGCCCTGACACCCTGGGAGAAAAAGCCCAGCCCTGGCCATAAAGCCGAGCCCAGGAGCTCTCCCAGCACCCTGGGGTTTGCTTTTCCCAGGCCCCAGGGGAGGGAAATAAGGACTCAAGTGCTGAGATTAGCTCCTGCCTCGGGCTGAGAGAGGAGCCACAGAGATTCCCACTACTCCAGCACTTGCTGGTTCCCTGACCGTGCCTTTCCCATGGCTTGGGCAAGCATCCAGCACCACCACAGCCACACACGGCACTGGGTTTTGGGGGGGGGGGACCCTGGTTACAAGCTCCCCAACCACGGCACAGCCTCTCGCCAGCAGCAGAGCTGAGGCTTCCGAGCCTCAAAAAGATCATGTAAACTTTTGGAGCCAGCTTCCCTCTCCGGGCGGGAGGGGATGGGACGGGAAGAGGCTATTTCTGGAGCAGGTATTTCCCCTCGCTGCTGCTGGACACGCAGACGGGGAAACCACAGCCCGGCAGTGTCTGCTCTCCCTGCCAGCACTGAGTCACCAGCACGGCACAGGCAACAGCAAACAGCTTCTGCTTGAGGGAGGAAAGTGGTGACCCCACTGCAGGAGCCCCTGCCCTGGTACCCAGCCCCTCCAGGGATGCTGCTGGAGAAGGGAGGGGAGAGAAGGAGAGGAAAGGAGAGGAGGATGAGGAGAGGAAGGCTCACCTTCATGGACAGCGATGATGTGGGGGTGGTTGAGGGAGGACATGATCTCGATCTCTCTCCGGATATGGACAAGGTCCTGCTCATCCTTGATTTTGTCTTTCCGGATTGACTTGATAGCCACCTGCGGGGGAGCAGAGGCAGAGGGTCACTCGGCTGGGGGGGCACAGGAGCATCACGGCTTCCCAAAGCCTGTTGCAGAGCACAAAACCCACCCCCCCTCTCTGGGGAAGAGGCTCACAAGCTAAAGATCAGTGTCCCCACTTCTCCACCCAGGCTTGCTGTATCCAAGGGCTGTGCTGCACCTCTCCACTGAAGCAACTCCAACAAAAGTGAATTTTATCAATGAGGTTTTTATACCATTGCTGAGCACAAGGGAAAAGCTCCCTCTGCCTCCCCCCAAAAGGAGACCTGCTGCCAGCTCCTACCAGAGGGGCTCCCTGACCCTCCTCCCACAGGTACCCCAGCCCCGCTCCTCATTTACGTGCCAGGAATTACAGGAATTGTGTCCCAGGCTACAGCCGCCGCTGGACCACGGCCAGCCACAGGAATGTGACCTGCACACATGACTTGGAAGATAACAACAACAACGTCGTCTTGGGGTCATGAAAATTGAAAAAAAAAAACCCAAACAACCACAAACAAAAACACCCCAACAGGTTTTATTTTTCCCCGCAAATACTTATTTCAAGGAGCTGACTACGTAGAGGTAGAGAAAGTTTGGAATTAAAGATGAGGTCCCTCCTAGGGACAGGACTGTGCTCCAGCTGCCTGGGAGAGCCAGAGCTGGGGGTGTGGGGGTGTGAGCTGCTTTCCAGGCTTTCACTTGGGTTTTCAAGTTATCCTCGACAAGGAAATTGAAAGGGGAGGAGAAAGAAGAGTAAGTGCTGGAGAATAGATGCCTTCTAATCCTCTTTCAAAGGGGCTGGGAAGAGACAATGTGCTCCTAGGGTTGAATTTACAACTGAATCCAGCAGAACCTCTTTTTTTGTATTGGACAAGAATGCGGAACAGTATTAATCCTGTAAAGGGACCCCCACACCCGTCTCCCAGCAACGAGGAGAGGGGCCACGGACACCCACCAGCCCCAGCTGCTGGCACAGGAGCGATGCTCATGGCTCTGCTGTGCGGGGACCCTCCTCTGGTGGTGTGAGATGGACCCTGGGCCTCATCTCCCTCTGATTTCGGGGAATTGGAAACCTCGCTCCTCAAGACCCATCCTCCTGCCAAGCAGCACAAAGCTCAGAGCAAGTTTGCAACCCTTGCTCTGGGAGACCCATCACACCCACAGCAAGTCACCGGACTCTAAAGCAGGGACATCTCAGCTGCCACTTGGTGGAAGAAGGACATCCCAGTTTTAAGGGCTCAGATGGCCACATCAGAGGTGGCCAAGAGAGTCCCTTTGGCCCCAGGGGACATCTCTGCTGCACTGGGCCACTTCAGGCCAGCACTGGCCAGGGCAGGGGTTGCCTCCTGTGCCCTGCAGAAGCATCGTGCCTGCACCAGCCCCAAGGGCTGAACAGAGCGAGTAGAATGGACTCTTGGCCAAGAGAAGTTCAATGACCCAGGCCCAAGTTCCTGCACAAAGCAATACCAAAGGCACCTAATAGTTTCGCTGAAGTCAGGTATTCTTTCCCCTGACCTTTGTGCTAGGTTAACAGGTTGAAGTTTAACAATTTATTTTTGCTGATTACTTGACCCCTGCTAGAATGCAGGGAAAAGCCTTTATGCAGTCAGTCAGCCCTCTCCTGCCCTCCCAAATTCCCCTTGACTCACCCTATTCATCTCCCCGCTAAAGCTCGACATCCAGCCCTTGGGGTTTTGGGCTGCACGAAGCACATTTGCTCCCTGACCAAGATGCTCACACACGTACACCGCTGAGCTGGGGCTTGGGGCAAGACCCACCGTCCAGAAAAAGACAAAATGGCTCCAGGCTGCCAGCATGGGAAGCCTTAGGAGATGCCACTGGGTGCATTTGGCAGCGCTGGAGAACGCCCTCGCCAATGAGCACTTAGTGACCTCCGAGGCAGATGGAGCATCCAGCAGGTTCAGGGCACTGTTAGAGCCCCGGGGGCTGCCTGCTAAAGGTCAGGGACAACACACAGCGAGGGCACGGCACTGTTCGGGTCCACATCTCTCACCAGTCACTCAGGGTGGGATGATTTATCTGCCTGTCAAGCTCTGCAGGAGAGGTTAATCTCTTGGCCATCCCATCCTTCCCCAGGGGTGCCGAGAGGCAGCTTTGTTCCCAAACATCCCCTGCCCAAGAGGGCTGGCAGCCCCCTGGAGACAGAAAATACTGTGCCCGGCCACCCTGGAGAAGGGGACCAGCAGCTTCAGGGACAGGACAGACCTTGCCACAGCCTCCACACCACCTCCACCATCAATGCTCTGAGAAGAGCCTCCTGCAGGAAACCACCCTGAGAAGTCCCACTGCAGGAGCCTAGAGAACTCCAGAGTACTTTCCAAGTCAAAAAAGCTTTTAATTAAAAAGTTTTTTGGGGGCAGAACAGGTATTTTCAGCAGCTGCTGAAAGATGCATTAAGCTACAACCCCAGGCAGCACGTTAGAAGTTGTTCCAGATTGCAAGTGAGGCATTTCATGCTCCATGAAATATGGATTTACAACCCACTACGGAAGAGACCGGGGCTCGCCCCTTGCTGGAGATCAAAAGCAGCTTTTCTGCTCCGGAATATTCCAGGTGCTGCCTCCCCCTTGACACCAGACGAGCCCACAAATACGTTTCTGACACTGCGAGGGAGTCCCCACACACGAGGTCCCTCTTTCTGTTTGACTTGGCTGCAGGCCAGGGCTGAGAGAAATACCAGGCAGACGGGAAAATGAAAGAAAAAAGAAAAAAAAGGCCAGATGCTGCCATAGAAGCAGGTGCAGCAGCCAGTTTGCACCACCATGGCACAGGTCACTTAATCTTCAAACCAAAAGACTCAGGAAGAAAAGAAATAAAAGGAAAGGAAAAAGAAGCAGCGACTCTCTCCCCACCTGCTTGGTATTTCAATTTTCCAAGGATTGGAAGGGCACTCAGCAGAAGCACCCACCAGAAGGAGTGAGCATCATTTCACACAAAGGATTTCTAACCAGAAAACAAGAGTTTTTTTCAGATGAGAAACATTCATGAAGTCCCCCAAAACCCTTCAGCTGAAGGGAGCCTGGTCTTCCCTTCAGTCTGCAAACTGATGAGACACACCTTGCTCTGAGCTAAGGCCAGGGAGGTTGGGTAAAAATCAGAGTTTAAAAAAAAAAAAAGAAAGAAAAAAAAAAAAAAAAGAGAGCTAGGTGGTAAAACGAGATGGTTCAATATTCGGGTGCATCTGATAGAGGCAGTTTCTGATTAGCCAGAGGCAAAACCCATGCAGGGAGCTGCTCCAGCCGGTACCGTGGGATGCAGGCAGCCCAGGAGGGGCAGCAGTACCTGCTCTCACACCTCGGCCTTTAGGAAGTGAAAGCCACTTAGAGAAGGAGCAAATAACTACCCAGCTCAGGATAAGCCTAAAGATTAAACAGGTCCGGAAACACTGAGTGCTACACGAAAGAATTTGTGGGAAGAGGAGAGATTTGTGGTTAAGCCTCCTGTTCCTACACGGCCACCTCGCCGAGGTACTAGTTAGTCCAGCTGTTGACTATCTCCAGCGTTTATTGAAGAACCAGTGGCCTGTGTATTTAGTTTGCATCATAATAGAGCGATGCTGCCAGACAAACGAGTCCCTGTCCTGAGAGGCTGCCACAGATAGGGGAGTTTTCCAGCAGTTAGAGATTCCCTGGATGAGCTTTGCTGGGTGCAGACAGGGAAAGCCAAGTCCTCTCGCCCATCCCGAGGGGAGGGATCCTTCAAGGTCTGTGGGTGGAAGCTGCATTTCAAGGCCCTGATTATGCAGCAAAACAGCAGCCTCTTCAGAATCAGATAGGCTGATGGAAATGGCAGATCTGACTTAATTAAGAAAGAGCTGTCGCGTTACACAACAAAACCTCGCCGATTTACAGTTGTTTTCCTTGACATGCCTCTGGCACGTTACTGAGCCCATCTCACGCCCTGCTCTTCTGCTCAGCCCTGGGCACCTTGCTGGGCCAGTCTCACCACCCATGGGGGGGGACACTCATTGTCACCCATGGTCTCAAGGTGGGTTGGTGTCCCGGTGCCTTTCCTGGGTCCCATCCCGCACCACGGGGTGCTGGGGACTGAACAGGGGCAGGGAAATCACCTTCAGATTTGCCCTTTGAACCCCTGCAGATTCCTGAAGGACAAGGGGGGCTGGGGGTGGGCCAGCACCCCACTTTCTGGGGGGTGAGGGTCCCCCTCCTCTCCCTACACACTTCCAGCACACCGGGTTGTCATGCCCTGGGTTGAGCCTCGGGTTGCGGCGTTGATTAAGTCACGATATTAATCAGACACTGGGGGCTCGGAGCAGGGGGGGGGCTTTGCCAAAATGTCCCTCACCCCTGCCCGGGGCCAACGGGCAAACCCACCCCTCAACCGGGGCAAGAGGAAGGGGAAAACCCTTCAGACTCAAGAGCAATGTTTGCTCTTTGCTGTTGGATACCTACAGGGGCCTTTCACCAGGAAGCCCGACGCGGTCAAGTGGGCGAGGGGAGCTGCGAGGTCCCCCCCCGAGTGGGTGCAAGACCCCCCTTCC